ATTGTTTTAAGATACGTTTGGTATTACGAAGACCCATATATAGTCATTCCAGAACATCTTCGAGAATTGGGTCTTATCGAGTAAATTTAAAACTTTAAATGCTAAATTGATTACGTTGATTCACATTTATCAATCACGCATGTCCATTTCAGAACGTATAAAGAAAAAAAAAATTCGGTTAACACTTTAACACCTGAAATATATGGATCACATGAGGTTGCTCTCTTGGATTTACTCTCAATTATTAACACTTACGAAACCACGTCTAACAAAAAACACCGTTTGACCAAATATCAGTTTATTTTTCAAGTCGTGGGTATTACAAAATTTAAGCTATACAACAATTTTATAAATCATTCATCCAGTTGAAATAGGGCATTCGCGAACGAAAGTCGTGATGGTCTCGGTTCGGTTCTAGCTAGATCAAAGGATTCGGTAACATTTCGGACCAATAACTGAATTCATAAATAGTACGTGAGATTAAAGGAAGTTAATGTCAAAGAATATTCGGTATTAATACATACCGCCCACTTCAGTACACATTCGTAAAAATAAATGAAATCTTTCATTTCGGAAAATTTTCGAGGAAGATTAGCGTTATCGACACCTCATTTAATCTATATGTTCCTAAATTAATATTTGATTCAAATTATCAGTATCTTTTTTATAATAAATTTTTAGTAAACAAAAATACATACCACGGTAATCAATATAAAATAAATGTATTCGACGACGAAAGCTTTGGCCACCAAATACACGTAATGTACTCGGCAGACGCCTTCTGTTTTTAACAATACCCTTCACAATTTCTGCAAACATCTTCTTCGAATTACTTATTTTTTCTAGATCGTTAATTTCCTTATCATCCCTTGCTACCGGCCTCGAACCTTCCACGTAGACGAGCTGATAATTGTCAGCATCTGCCATGAATCCTGCGCCATCTGCACGATTCCTATTGACATGGCTTTTCGATGTAATTTCTCCATACTCGTAATTTACATTTGCTATATACCATAAAAAAGCGTCGAAACATGGATGAACAAACGAATTAAGATAAATCCCTTCAATTGTTGAAATGTTTAAAAGAGGATTTTGATCCTCAAGTGAAAATGCCTTAATACTGTGCAAAAGAAAAATTAGAACAGAATCCGAAAAAAAATAGATCAATTAATGCCTAACATACAATTGCGGTAAGGTACTGCGTATAGCTCTCACTACTGCTGTCATCACGGGATCATTCGGTTCAGGAGATTTTAAATCGTCGATCTCGCAGTGCCATTCTTTGGCACTTAAATTTTTCGAAAAAAATTTCACTAGAAAATCATGTACAATTTTAGGAACCAATGATTCAGTCACGGTATCCATCTCCATTAGATACGATCTTGCTGTCGGTTCTGGAAGTTTTTTAAGAAATGGAGAGTTTAGTCGAAGATCAATTAGATCACCATCGGGATATTGTTCTTTATAAATCGAAAAAATTTCTTTTGTAGCATCCGAGTAATCAATAGTGTTTCCTAAAATGTCGGTTATCTGTAGAAAAAAAATAAATCTCTTAGTTAAAATAGATTGTTAAATTATTATCAAATACTTACTACATCATCTCGAATAATTTTTTTCTTGAGAATTAATGTCCAATCCCTTCTCAATTGTTGCATACATAGTTTCCGGTTTATTTTCTTGTGAGGAAAGTTCAGGAATACTGACATCGGAACTTGATGCTTCATCTGTTTCTTCATTATAATCTGGTATAGTAACTCTCCCACTTCTTGTTTGATGCTTGATTTATGAAACGGATAGGCAAAATGTCAATTGTTATTTTTATCATATATGATTGTTGACGTTCAGTCATCCATTCTAAAGGAATTAATATGTTAAGAGTCACTTGATCTCACCCTTTTTGATGTCTCCTTATCGACCTGCAAGTCATGTTCACGTTTCTTGCTCTTGTTGATAAATCTATTCTGGATTACATTTATCTGGTTTGAGGCATTTTTGGTTGCCTGGAGTTGTTGTTTTGTCTTATTGAAAGAAAAAAGTGTCAATCAGCTTTTCCGTAAAATGAAACATTAATTTCCTTCTGAACAATAGCTCTTTATGCATATTAGACCTGCAAATACCTCAATTTTGTCCAACTTCTTCTCTAACAATTGAGTGTTTATTTCAGCTTTTTCAAATTCGATCTTATTCCAAAATAATTTTACATCCTCCCATTGGGCTTGCTGTTGAAATTATTGGGAAGAAATTATTATAGGAAAAAAAGCGGGTCATTAGGGGTTGTGAACGAACGCGTCGCTCTTGGCACTAAGACGTGTTGCCTTTGGCCTTCACACAAACTTAGGATGGAGCCCACCAGAGATAGCCCCCGTAACTAACCCGACGCGTTGCCAGGTCGCTTAGGTGGTTGTTTCGACAGCGCCCAACTCCTTCCCTATCCCCTCGTCACTTTTCCCCTTCTGATTTATTCTCTTCAATACCAGGCTTAAAAACAAAAATATTACCTTAAAAATTCCACCATCGTTATTTAGGGCAGAGGCGACCTTTCACCACTTTTTATCTGCAGTTTCTGCAACGTACGAAACGAACTTTGATATAAGAGTATGCTCGACCGACTTATTGAACGAGAAGTCATCTCTTGTTTGACGGAATTTCAGGATGGAAAGAAGAGTGAAGTTTTCGGGGTCCAAAGCAGTTTCCCAGCCTTTAAATTGTAGTTGCATCATATTGGTCTGCACAAATTATGTCACATGTAAATCATGTCACTCAAACTTTGATTAAAGCGAACCTTTATTACTTTTCATTGATATATAACAGAGAGTGTGAGACCGGCTAATTTAATGATATAAACGATTGAGTAGATCTCGTTTAAAGGGAGGAAGCCCGCCGGCCCCTAAACCCCTCGCAAAGCAAGGATGGCGATTCCATCTCACTACTCAATATTACTACCCAAGTTATTTGTTTTACTATCTATCCACGAACCGATTTGGTCTAATGTACTAATATAACCATCCTTCTTTCTTTCATAAAACCCTTGTACTGTCATCTTCTTAATATTCCCTCCCAATGATCGAATGTCCGATGTTGAAAATAAATAAATTCTATTTGTACCAAGAGGGTTTTTTGTGTTGGATGAAAATGGGTTGATATAAAAAAATCAAAGTAAAAAATCGTTACCAGCTTTTCTTTAGGAAAGATAACGAAATAAAGTTTATTTTAAATAGATATACATGAATAAGTTATATAATTATTAAATCAAACAAATCGAATAAATAGATGTGTATAATAATTAATATATTTACGCTTCTATTTCTAAAAGTCGCTTTTGGAATCTAGATCGCAATTGACTCTTTTTAGAATATATCCAATTATCTGGAATATAATATTCTTTATATTGTCTATTAATAATGAAACTGCACATCATGGGATTGTTTTTATATAATTCAATACATTTAGTACGCTATTGATTAAATTGTTCTTGAGTCTGAGGATTTTTTACTTGATGTTGAGTTAAACCTAGAAATTTTTCATCATCAAAAGTACTGTCATTTCTCATTGCATTCCAAGCTTGGGTTGCTAATGATTCAGGTCTATTCTTATAATTTTGATAAGCTATTTGTATAATTCTTGCTTTTCCAAAATCAGTCTTTGATTTATTACATTCGTAATCCCAATGTTCCTGCATCAGATCTTTAGGTTCGAGACGATTAATATATCTCTGTCTAGTAAAATGGAATATTTTTTTAGGATTCACATTATCGATTTTTATGAGTTTCCAGCAATCAAAGCAAATAGCCATATAACTTTTATGGATTCTTGGTTTATGATAATGGGAATTATTAAATTTACCTTTATCATATGACATAAATAAACAATATCGATGATATATACTAAATTTTCCTGAATTTAACAAATCTTATAATGGAATTCTTACTCGTATTGCCCATTGAACAGGTGTTTCATTCTGTTTTATGGTAGATAAAATATCAAATAATCTCTTATTATCGAAAATTTGATTGAGTTTATTAGTATAAGATTCATCATAATGTGATATATATGACATAGCATACTTCATATCAAAACTAGGATGATTAACATCAGGAAATTTCTATACCCGTTGGCAATCGATTTATAACCATGCCCATTGGCAATCAATTATCAACATCCCCATCGTTCACCATCGATAGGGATTATAATCGATTGTTAGCGATTAAAATCGATTATAATCGCTGATAATCGATTGCGTTCAAAAATCATCGAAGAACATCGTTAGCAATCGATTGCAACCGCTAGCGATAGAAAATGATGGTGTGTTGATGATTGATTGCCAATGGAAATTGTA